ATGTTTTAATTTTTTTTTATTTTCACATATATTTAATGAATATTCGAAATTTCTATAACATATCTTTTAAAATAATAAGAATAAAATCTCATTTTTTAGTTTTTTAATTTTTATTTTATATATTTAAGTAATTTTTTATAAATATATATTAATATATATTTCAATAAAAATATATTAATTTTTATTAATCTAAAATAATAATTTATATTATTTAATAAAAAATATATTTGTTAAGTTTATGTAAAAATATATAAGTAAAATACAGACACAAGACAATGTTATATTATTCATTTTTATTTTTATATTTAATAAAAATTTAAAATTATATATATTTTTATACTTATAATATAATATTTATACTCATTTTTATTCAGATAAAAAATCAAATCTTTCATTAAATATGCTTAAAATTGACATAAAAAAACAATAACCCACACTGTACACGTGTCTTCACATGAACTACCAACCTTGTCATACCTTGCGTTCCTCTGGTCACAAACGAGTGAGCGTTCCCAGCTTTGCATGCTTTTTTATATTTATTTTTGTATATATTGTATAATTATATTTAAATAAGATGAAAAGAAAAACAAAAAGTCAGAAATTTAAAAGTAAATGTTACAATTTAAAGTTGTCAATGCAGTTCAAAAAGTTTCATATAGAATAGGAGAATAAGTAAATACAAAAGTTTCCTCGAGTAAACAAAAGCATCGAGCATAGCAATATTTACTTTAATAGATGTTAAATAAATTAAATTTTTCATAAAAAAATTAAAAAAGTAATTATAAGTATTTGGAAAGTATTGTAAATAGTTGAGATAATTGTTAATTACCAATTGCCACTGTAGGCATTGACTTGAAATTATTTTATAGATGGACTCAAATCTTAAAATTGTATACCTAATTACAAAGTATTTTGTTAAAGCTATCAAATATTACCAAGTTTTAGTCTTTGTTATTTTTTTTTTTAGCAAAAAGAGAGTGAACTCTATACAATATCTTTATCCAATATATTCTGGCTACTAACATATGATTTATCCAAAAAAAAAAAAATATATTAAGCTCCAAACTCAATTATGTAATCATGAATTATCTCAAAATGAGCTTAAGTCAATATATATATATATATATAGCAACCTAGTATAGTTACAATACAGTTGGATTTTACATAATAACAAATGAGTGTATGAAATATTTTCTTGTCAGCAAGAGGAATCAGTTATCTAATTTCAAAGGCTAATAATTAGTTTAACTTGAAAACTAAAAAAAAATCATTTTTCAAGATTATAATAGGTATGCAGAAACTTACAACCAATGACCATTAAAAAATTAATTCACTAAATTGATTGCTATACATTACTATGAGATGATGATGACCCTTTTAAGTCTCTAATACTAATAATTGAAGTCAAGAATTCCTTTGTAAGCCATGAATAATGCCATTAGCCCATAACCAAACGATCAATCAAATGATATGTACAGCACATGGTAACATTTTAATTGAAAGATAATTAATTTCTTATTTGACTAAGGAGTAACTAAGAAAATAAATGAGTCATAAACAATAAAACCTGCCAATACTCCAATTAAAGTCCTTTCCTTCTAAAATTTAAATCAAAACACAATAAAATAGCTACTGGAATTTTCATAAGGTAATATGTCCCAAGATTCTCATAAGCTCTAATATGCTGCCATTTAGTTCTTTAAGCAACACCTAATTAACACAATACGTATGATTCATATGGCTTATTTCAGCCTAAAAGCTAGATAAGCCAAATTGATCTAACTTATAATGCCCGTAATTTTTGTTAAAGTAAGAAACTAACCAGAAAGTACTACTTGTAAGTTGTCCATTAATGCGGAAGATATTTCATTTCTCTTTTCAAACCTTTATACATAGATCCTTTTCGCACCTCCTTGTAAATGGTATCAGAGCTCTAAGTTTGTAAAAAAGTTTGTACTATTTTAGCTTATAGATCTATCTTGTAATCTTATTTTTATAACCAAAGTATTTATATCTACTCTTGTTTTTTGTTGTTATTTCATGTTTTAAAAGCTTATATCGTGAATCTATGATTATTTGCTGGTAATTGTTGAGCTTTGTATGTCTTGTTGTTGATTGACCTTTGGTAACCCATATAGAATCACACCGATTTTAAGCACAAAAAACATGGAATCAACTTCAAAAAATGATTATATTTGTAAAGATCAAGTTTATAATCATAGTTTGCATATAGATCCTGAGTTTGAATATAATAATATGTCTATTAATAGAACTATAAATGGTTTAATTGATCTTTCTTCTTCTTTTTTCACTAAGTTGTTTGTAAAAATGGATAATATAGAAGAAAAAATAGATTTACTTACAGAAAAAATAGACTAAAGACATATTCCCCCCGATACATTCATAGACTTTGGACCTTTTTATTATGGTAATATTATGATGGCTGATGACAATCTTTCATCTTTCTCAGCAAAGACGAAACAAGAAAAACTTGATTTTGACTCTTATAAATATTTAATTGAAAACTTTAAGTATAAAATGAAAAAACTTGAAGATTCGAAACAATGGGTCGATTATCTTCAAGTTATTGAAACCCTTTATGAAAAACATAAAGGACTTTTTCAAAAATATAATTATCATTACATGTTTAACTATGACACAATCAGTGTTAATAGTGAATAAGCAGATAATGATATGGTAGAAGATAATTTTGAAATTTTTGCTACTAATTCAGTAGTAAAACATGAACCAGTTTCATCAAATGAAACCACATCAGATGATTTTTCAAGTTTTGAAGATCAACCAGATCCAGAACCTCAAAACCCTATTTTTCAACCAGATGATAGAGGAAAAATAAAGGCATCAGAAATATGTAACCCAGATATGGATAGTTTTCTTCATTTTCCTAACTATTTACATTCTCATGAAGAATTAGCTCAGCATAAACCTCTACATAAACCTCACCTAAAAAAGGATGAGATAAAACAAACTTTAGAATTTGGCTAAACCAGTCAAATTAAACTAGAAGTCCCTATAATCTATTCGTTAAACAAATGAACGGTTGCACAAGGTAATACATATTTAGATCTAACCGGTGTTCCTATCAAAGACTATGGAAAAACCATAGAAGATTAGACACAATCTATGTCCATTGTTGTCACATGCTACAAAGATCAGTGGAACAAAAAAAGATTTCTTAATTATTTTTGTGGCACATGACAAGGTGATGTCCTTCAATTTCTCAAAAAATGAGAAAAAACCATTCTGAGAAAAACTCAGAAAGCTTACTTCTTGCAACAGGTAATATACCTCAATTATTAAAAGATCTAACTCAAATTTTAAAAAATGAGTTTTATGGAAGTACAGAATCACTAGATTCAAATCAAGAAGCTCAATTTTTCCTTTCAAAATTAAAACTATGTGATATTAGAAATCTTTATGATTTTTGTAAAAGATATATTTCTGAATATCAAAAATTAGATGAAGAACATTCAAAATTTTGGTTACAATAATTTTTCTTAAAACTTCTTGCACCATGGGATGAGCTTTGATCTCAAAATTATAATACTTATTTAGAAATCAAAATTAAATCTGCTAATGCTGCAAATCCCAGTATAGAACTATACGATACTCTTGGTTGTAGAATACACTACATGCATAGTCAAATTACAGAGCATTGTCTCAAGCAAAAAGTTATCAAATAGGTAAAATCTAAACTTAGGTACAAACAATGTACTAAGATTTAAGAAAATTATTTAGAATTTGGTTGTAACAAACAACCTATTCAAAGAAAACGTTTTAAACAACAACGTAAATATTTTTGGAAAAAATGAAAGCTCGAAAAAATTAGTAAAAATACCAAGCCTAAAAAAGGTAAATTTGTTGTTAAAAGAAAGAAAAAATCTTTTAAAAAAACTTGTAAATGTTTTATTTGTCATCAAGAAGGTCATTATGCTGATAGCTACCATAACAAAGGGAAAAGTGCTAGAAAAATGATTAGAAACCTTGAAGAATGTTATCTTCAAATTTCTTTTACAGATGAATTATCAGATGATGAAATATATTATTAAGTTTTTTCTGAAACTAATTATAGCTCCTCTGATGATGAATCTAAAAATATTTTTATGTTAAATACAAAGTCTAACCAAGATAATGTTTCAGTTACTTCTTTTACAGGTACAACAACCACAGTCAAAGAAGTTATGATTAAACTAAAAAATGTGATGTGAAAAACTCATCATATTTCTGATGAAAAACTCAAAGAATTACAACTCATCCAACCAGATGAGATTTATAAAACAAGTTGGTTTAAAAAATTCCAACCCTGGTATAAACTCCATATAGAAAAACTATCTGGTGATACTGTTGCTAACGATTCTAAATAAGGATAAGTCGAAATACCTCTTTTTACAAAACAGAAAATAAACCATTTCCTGAAAAAATATCCTAAATTTAAATATATACATATTGGTATGATTTTAATAACCATTAAACTGCTATTTTTGTCTTGCAAAGATATTCTTATTATAGCTGTCTTAATGGATAATCATTTTAAAAATCTTGTTAATGTTATAATTAGAGGAATCCAATCCAATCCAATTTAGCTGCTGGTGTTGTCTTATTTAAAGTTAAACCAAACTATTTTATTTTTATTTTTGATGAAAATATTGAAAAATGTTTGTCTTCATGTCAAAATAACAAATTCTGATATTGAAGAAAAATCACATGACCTTTCAATCAACTGGTCTGCAATTTATGAGTTTACAAATACTACAAATACTTTTATCAAACCGATAGATTCAAATATTATAGAACTTTTCGAACCAAATAGTTTTGATTATGAAATCAAACCAAAATTGGTTAAACTCGAAGACTTATCTGTCCCAAAAGGATGGTATCTCAAAGATATTTCAGATAATACCTCTAAAAAACAGAAAGTACCTAGTTTAAATTTTTTCTCATCAGTAAAAAATTTTTATTTTAAAAATCCAAATGCTCCAACCAATTTTAATCCAAATCTAGTTTTACCCCAACAAATATTTTTGAACATAAAAAAGATAATGATATTGAGAGTATAACTAGCAATCAATCTTTTTATACTCCTCACTGAAGTTTTTTTTTAGGATTTATAGTGTAAACAATGTAGAAAATCTTCAAAGAGCAAACAATATAAGCCATACAGGTAATAATCAAATTCTTATTTTTACAGATGATAATCCATCCTAGCAAAATACAAGTGATAATCAATCCTATTATTATTCTGTTAATTCTATTTTAAACTCACATACTTCTTCCTCTAGAACACATAGACAATAAGAAATTAAAATTTTACATTTTATAAATAATTTTAGATTATCTGCACTTGACATAATTTTATTCTCTAAGAAATATAGATATTACACATTTGTGAAAGGTGACTTTCGATTTTAGGACTATAAACCGTATAGTCTACATATATTGCTTGACATTAGAGCAACAATATCAAGCTGTCGTAACAATGCTTTACCCATAAACAAATGGCAACCAATGAAGCATCCTATCATCATAGTAGGTATTGATGGTAAGGAAACTATTGTTGGTTATAAAGCAAAAAATATTCTTATTTATCTCAATAATGTTAGATTCATAATACCAAAAATATTATGTTTTCCTAACATGCATGGAAATATACTATTAGGAAATAATTTTTTATATACTTATGTTCCATTTTCTATTTCTAATACTCATGTCACTCTTACAATTGATAAAACATCAGTTAAAATTCCTTTATTATAAGAGCATAAGCATATTTATGATAAAAACTTTCAACCAAAAAGATTAACAAATGCTATAAATACAATCAATGAAAAACATTGACTTTATAAGATTTTGCAGGAAAACTTCAGTGAATAACCATTGAAGTTATGGCAAAGAAGTCCACGATATTGTTAACTCACTTTTCACAATCCAAAAGAAATAATAAGAGTAAACCCATGATCTATACCAAGCAGGATATAAATGAATTCGAGATCCAAATCTCAAAATTATTAGACAAAGGTCAGATAGAACCAACTACCAATCCACATTCAAGCCCAGCATTAATGGTAAGAAACCATTCAGAGATAAAACGAGGTAAACCCCGCAAGATTATCAATTATAAGAGATTAAATCAAAATGTTGTCTTTGATGGCTATTTTATTCCTCGTCAAGATGTCTTGATAAATTTAGCAAAAAATGCTAAATATTTTTCTAAATTTGACTATAAATCTGGTTTTTGGCAACTCATGCTTAAACCCGAATCTAAACTTTTAACTGCTTTTAGTGCACCAATAGGCCATTACTAATGGACTGTTATGCCTTTTGGTCTATGCAATGCACCACACATTTTTCAATGTTGGATGGACACTATTTTCAACAAACATAAACAATTTTGTTATGTATATATTGATGATATCCTTAATTTCTCCTCTACATTAGATGAGCATAGGAAACACCTGAATATTATCGCTTAAGAATTTATTTTACATGGTATTATTTTAATTCTCAAAAAGGTTGAACTTCAAAAAACAAAAATTAAATTTATTGGTCTCAATCTAACTGCTAATGGATTAACATTATAGGATCATATCATCTCAAAGATCAAAGAGTTTCCAGAAGAACTGGATAATATTAAACAACTGCAATAATTTCTAGGTATATTAAATTATGGCAGATAATTTTTCAAAAATCTTTCTAAAAAAGAAAAGTCTTGTTTTGCGTAAATTACGCAAAGATAATGATTTTGTCTGGACAACAACAGACTCTGATATTATTAAACAAATCAAATCAGAGCTAACATATATTCTTAAAGTTTATCTACCTAAATAGGAAGATTTAATGATATTAGAAACATATGCCAGTGAAGAACATTGGGGATATGCCCTTAAAGCAAAAAATCTTCATCAAAAGGATGAATTGATATGTGGATAGAATTTTGATAAATTTAAATGAAACAAAATAAATTACATTATTTATGAAAAAGAATTGCTAGCTATAAAAAATGGTGTACAGCGATTTCACATCTATTTAGCCCCTGAGATATTTGTTATTAGAACAAATAACTAAACAGTACGAGACTTCCTCAAAAATAGAAAACTCTCTGAAAATCTCAGGCGAATTAGGTGGTATAATTTTTTTTGTCAATATAATTTTCAGGTAGAATTTATCAATGGAGACAAAAACCTCATTGCAGATTATCTAAGCATACCATATGGATCGAGGAAAACAACCTATCCATAACCCAAAAGAATGGAGAACCATAAAAAAGAAAATAGGTAAAAAATCTTCTTCTTATACTTTTTCTTCTCCCAGATCTCTTGTTTTTCTTCCAAATCCTAACCTAGAATTTGGTTTTTAAAATGATCCTAACCAAGGATTATTTTTTTATCAACCACAAAACTTTAGACTACTATTTATGTCATTTCCTTTGAGGATTCAACCAGAATTCTCTTAGTTTGCTCAAGATCTAAATGAATGCACTCCTATGAGTTATTCTCAAATAGTTTTTTCAGCAGAACAACTGCTAGAGAAAACAAAACTCTCTAATCTAGAGATTAAAAATTTTTATAACCGTAGACTTGAACCACGAGTCTATAATTTACTAAACAATGTTTAGAAATCCCATATATCAGAAAACAAATCTAGCTTTAGAAAAGGGATGACCAAATTAACTGAATTTTGAGTAAAACAGGCTGATGAAATTTACAAGTTAAAAAAAATAGCTTTTCAAAGCCTTTTTTCCATTAATCTGCTAAAATAGCAAGATATTGATTTCTTTGCTTTGAAAAAAAATTAGTACAGTGTTCAAGAAATAAACAATTTCTTTAATTTATATGAATATTTTAAAAATTATAATTCTCCTAAGCTAAACAAGCTTAAGAAAATTCTTTTGTTTGAAAAAATTACAGTCTTCCTAACCAATGAACTGTTTCAACAAATAAATCTTTCAATAACTTAGACAACAGAAAAACTATTGATTGAAAATTTTTTGAACATTATTATTCTTTATATGTTCATATTACTACCACTAGGGATCATATTCCAAAAATTAAATTTCGTTTAAATCATGAACCTTTTGATGTAATCAACATCGACCTTGGAATAGTTGGTCAAATCCTTGTGCAAAACTTATCTTTTGATTTGATTAAAGATTTCTTAACTTTTATAAAACAGCATTTTCATAAAGCTGTAAACAATAGCCATTATTTCTTTTATATACATTTCACCATTACCAGTCTTCTTGGTTTTTACTAACGAGAAAGATTTTTTCAACCCTATCAATTTTGAAAAATGAAAAAAGTCCTTTCTGGCCATATGTTAAACTCAACAATAGAAACCTTAGAGATTCCTGAAACACTAAACAAGATTGTTTCGAAATATTCAAACCCAGCACAATATCAATTACAAACTGAAATCGAGATGATGAAAAAAGCCTCATATCTCCTTCGACTGGCCACCAGAGATAGTTTCCCAAAAGCTATCATACAAATTGATGGATGAAGGATTTTTGCAATAATTTATTATGCTACCTTTCAAGCACCCTTCCAAACTCAACCAAAAGTAATCCAACTTTTAGGAAAACTTTCTAACATGAAAGACATTGAACATCCTACAAAGATGCTATACTAGTATCAAGAATGATGGAAAATGTGAAATCAATCCAGATCCGTTTCTCCACGCTCTCACCAAACTCTAAATGAAGAAGGTGTAGAACTCCAAAATCTGGATTATGCAATGAAAGGATAAACTACTCTATAGATATTCCAACCAAGAATAAGTCAAAACTAAGTTGATCTAAATTGTCCACATAAAAAGACAAAGATGTTCGGAGCCAAAGACCAGCAGTACTACAGCAATTATTGTTCCTGACAAAAAATCTTGTAGCAGTCACTATAGTAGACAGAAGACAGAGACCTGTCATCAAAATTACTATAACAAGTCACTGTAGCGATATTGTAGATAACATTTTACTATATACTGTAGCAAAAATTGTACATAGTTACTGTTCATGTTTTTGTTTATTTAAGCCTACATTTTAATTAGCTTGAGAAGGCCTTTCAGTCATTCTTATTTACTATTTCTTTCTCTCAATCTTCTTTTACCTACTTTCTTCCACTTAATGTAAAATAACCTAAATTAGATATTTCGTTTCTTTTTTTAAATATATAGAAACTTTTTGTACCGCCTTCAAAATGGTATCAGAACAAGTAGTAAATAGGAATTAAAATACCTTGTAAATCTAAAGTTTTTGCTTTATAACCAACAATAGTTTCCTTACCATCGATACCTACTACGATGATAGGATTTTTCATTGGTTGCCATTTGTTTATGGGTAAAGCATTGTTACGATAGCTTGAGATTGTTGCTCCAATGTCAAGCAATATATGTAGACTATACGGTTTATAGTCCTGAAATCGAAAGTCACCTTTCACAAAAGTGTAATATCTATCTTTGTTAGAGAATAAAATTGTGTTAGGTGTAGATAATCTAAAATTATTTATAAAATGTAACATTTTTATTTCTTCTTGTCTAGGTGTTATAGAGGAAAAAGTACGTAAGTTTAAAACAGAGTTATCAGAATGATAATAGGATTGATTATCATCTGTATTTTGCTGGGATGGATTATCACCTACAAAAATAAGAATTTGATTATTACCTATATGGCTTATACTATTTGCTCTTTGAAAATTTTTTGCACTATTTGCACTCTGAAATTCTGAAAAAAAACTTCTGTGAGGAGTATAAAAAGATTGATTGCTAGTTATACTCTCAATATCATCATCTTTTTGGTATTCAAAAATATTTGTTAGAGGTAAAACCAAATTTGGATTTTTAAAATAAAGATATTTTCCTTATGAGAAAAATTTTAAATTGGGTACTTTCTGTTTTTCAGAGGTATTATCTGAAATATCTTCGAGACACCAACCTTTTAGGACAGATAAGTCTTCGAGTTTAATCGATTTTGGTTTGATTTCAGAATCAAAACTATTTGGTTCAAAAAGTTCTATAATATTTGAATCTATCCGTTTGGTAGAAGTATTTGTACTATTTGTAAACTCATAAATTGCAGGCCAATTGATTGAAAGGTCATATGATTTTTCTTCAATATCAAAATATGTTATTTTGACATAAAGACAAACATTTTTCAATATTTTCATCAAAAATAGAAATAAAATAGTTTGGTTTAACTTTAAATAAGACAACACCAGCAGCTAAATTGGATTGGATTCCTCCAATTATAGCATTAACAGGATTTTTAAAACGATTATCCATTAAGACAGCTATAATAAGAATATCTTTGTAAGATAAAAATAGCGATTTAATGGTTATTAAAATCATACCAATATATATATATATATATTTAACTTTAGCATTTTTTTAGAAAATGATTTTTTTTTGTTTTATAAAAAGAGGTATTTTGACTGATCCTTGTTTAGAATTATTAGCAACAGTATCACCAGATAATTTTTCTATATGGCATTTATACCAATATTGAAAATTTTTAAACCAACTTGTTTTATAAAACTCATCTGGTTGGATGAGTTGTAATTCTTTGAGTTTTTCATTAGAAATATGAAGAGTTTTTCGCATCATATTTTTTAGTTTAACCATACCTTCTTCGACTGTGGTTGTTATACTTATAGAAGAAGTAACTGAAACATTATATTGCTTAAACTTTGTATTTAACATAAAAATATATTCAGATTCATCATCAGAGGAGCTATAATCAGTTTCAAAAAAAACTTCATAATATATTTCATCATTTGATAATTCATCTGCAAAAAAAAATTGAAGATAACATTCTCCAAATTGATATGTGGATATAATTCCCTTAAAGCAAAAAATCTTCATCAACAGGATGAATTGATATGTGGATATAATTCTGGTAAATTTAAACCAAATGAAATAAATTACATTATTTATGAAAAAAAATTGCTAGCTATAAAAAATGGTGTACAACTATTTCACATCTATTTAGCCCCTGAGATCTTTGTTATCAGAACAAATAACCAAACAGTACGAGACTTCTTCAAAAATAAAAAGCTTTCTGAAAATCCCAAGCGAATTAGATGGTATAATTTTTTTTGTCAATATAATTTTTAGGTAAAATTCATACCAGGAGAATGGAGAACAATAAAAAAGAAAACAGGTAAAAAATCTTCTTCTTCTACTTTTGCTTCTCCCAGATCTCCTGTTTTTCTTCCAAATCCTAACCCAGGATTTGGTTTTTACAATGATCCTAACCAAGGATTATTTTTCTATCAACCTCAAAACTTTAGACCACCATTTATGTCATCTCCTTTGAGAATTCAACCAGAATTCTCTCAGTTTGCTCAAGATCCAAATGAATAGACTCTTATGAGTTATTTTCAAATAGTTTCTTTAACAGAACAACTGCTAGGAAAAACAAAACTCTCTAATCTAGAGATTAAAGATTTTTATAACCTTGAACTTGAACCCCGAGTTTATAATTTACTAAACAATGTTTGGAAATCCCATTTATCATAAAACAACTTTAGCTTTGGAAAAGGGTCATAAATAATGTAATTTATTTCGTTTGGTTTAAATTTACCAGAATTATATCCACATATCAATTCATCCTTTTGATGAAGATTTTTTTCTTTAAAAGCACATCCCTAATGTTCTTCACTGGCATCTGTTTCTAATATTAGTAGATCTCCCTGTTTAGGTAGATAAACTTTAAGAATATAAGTTAGCTCTGATTTGATTTGTTTAATAATATCAGAGTCTGTTGTTGTCCAAACAAAATCATTATCTTTGCGTAATTTACTCAAAACAAGACTTTCTTTTTAAGAAAGATTTTTGAAAAATTTTCTGTTATAATTTAATATACCTAGAAATTGTTACAGTTGTTTAATATTCTCTAATTTTTCTGGAAACTTTTTTATCATTAAGATGATATGATCTTGCAATGTTAATCCATTAGCAGATGATTGAGACCAAGCTTTCCAAAGTCTTCTTTCCATTAATCTACTAAAATAGCAAGATATTGATTTCTTTAGTTTGAAAGAAAATCAGTAAGCGTTCAAGAAATAAACAATTTCTTGGATTTATGTGAATATTTTAAAAATTATAATTCTCCTCAGCTAAACAACCTTTAAGAGAATTCTTTTGTTTGTAAAAGCTGCAGTCTTCCTAACCAAGGATCTGTTTCAACAAATAAATCTTTCAATAACTCAGACAACAAAAAAACTGTTGATCGAAAAATTTTCAGAACATTATTATTCTTTATATGTTCATATTACTACCACTAGAGATCTTATTCCAAAAATTAAATTTTGTTTAAATCATGAACCTTTTGATGTAGTCAGCATCGACCTTGAAATAATTGGTCAAATTCTTGTACAAAACTTATCCTTTGATTTGATTAAAGATTTTTCAGCCTGTATAAAACACCATTTTCATAAAACTGTAAACAACAACCATTATTTCTTTTATATACATTTCACCATTACCAGTTTTCTTTGTTGTTACTAGCAAGAAAGATTTTTTCAACCCTATCAAATTTAGGAAATGAAAAAAGTCATTTCTAGCCCTATATTAAACCGAATAACACAAGCCTTAGAGATTCTTGAAACACTAAACAAGATTGTTTCAAAATATTCAAACCCAGCACACTATCAATTCCAAATAGGAATCGAGATGATGGAAAAAGCCTCATATCTCCTTTAGCTGGCCAATAGAGATAGTTTCCCAAAAACTATCAAACAAACTAATGGACGAAGGATTTTTGCAATAATTTATTATGCTACCTTTCAAGCACCCTTCCAAACTCAACCAGAGGCAATCCAACTTTTAGAAAAACTTTCTAAAATAAAAGACATTGATCATCCTACAGAGATACTATACCAGTATTAAGAAAAATAAAAAATATAAAATCAATCCAAATCTACTTCTTCACACTCTCACCAAACGCGGGATGAAGAAGGTGTAGAACTCTAAAATTTGGATAATGCAATGGAAGGATAAACTACTTTGTAGATATTTCAACCAAGAATAAGTCAAAACTAAGCTGATCTAAACTACCAACACAAAAAGATAAAGATATTCAGAGTCAAAGATCAACTGTATTGTAGCAGTTATTGTTCTCGATAAAAAATCCTGTAGTAGTCACTATAGCAGACAGAAGACAGAGACCTGCCATCGAAATTACTGTAGCAAGTCACTATAACAGTATTATAGATAAAAAATTTTACTATACACTATAACGAAAACTATACATAGTTACTGTTCATGTTTTTATTTATTTAAGCCAACATTGTAATTAGCTCGATGAGGCCTTTCAATCATTCTCATTTACTCTTTCTTTCTCTCTATCCTCTCTCTCTCTCTTATCTCCATCTTCTCTTACCTACTTTCTTTCACTTAATGTAAAATAACCTAAATTTTATTGCACACTATAACGAAAATTGTACATAGTTACTGTTCATGTTTTTGTTTAAACCTGTCTTGTAATTAGCTTGAGGAGGCCTTTCAGTCATTCCCATTTACTCTTTCTTTCTCTTCATCCGCTCTCTCTCATCTCCATCTTCTCTTACCTATTTTCCTCCACTTAATGTAAAATAACCTAAATTAGATATTTCATTTCTCTTTTTAAACCTTTATACATCAATCTTTTCCACCCCCTTGTAAATGGTATCAATGCTCTAGGTTTGTAAAAAGGTTTGTACTATTTCAGCTAATAGATATATCTTGTAATCTTATTTTTATAAACAAAGTCTTTATATTTACTCTTTTTTTATTGTTATTTCATGTTTTAAAGCTCATCTCATGAATATGTGATTATTTGCTAATAAATGTTAGGCTTTGTATGCCTTGTTGTTGACTGACCTTTGGTAACCCA